ATTTCATGCTGTGTAATGTACCTGCAAATGACCTGAAATCATTTTAAAGTAGAGAAATACAAAAGCAAATAATTTGAGAAATTGAAATGAACACTTTAAGTGACAAGCACCTCAATTACATAAAGAAATATGATTATAAATCACAGTTTACACACATTTAACATAGCACTATTGTATGTATATTAGTGTGACTACAAAATGCAATAGGCTAATACTCTCTGCATGGAACTTGAGACTAGCAGGAATGGGAAAAAACAGTGAAGAGTTGCAAAATAATATAAGTTATATACAAATTATCCATCAGGAAAGAGGAAGTATAACATGATCAGATTTACATGTTCAAAAATTCACACAGTGATTGATGGATTATTGAACTGAGGCAGACCAATGGTTGACATAGGCAGAAAAATAGAAGCCTATTATAGTTGTCCAGGTGAGAAATTCTGGTTGTAGAGGTGGAGGGAAGAAGGTAGGTATGAAAGAGATAAGGAAATAGATATGACTGAACCTGGTAATTGATTGAACTTGAAATTAAGGAGGAGTCCAAGAGAAACGTAAAATTCTGGCATGGGCTACTGAGCAGTGTGGACAAAGAGAATAAGGTTTTTTTTTTTTTGAAGATGTTGAGTAGAAAAAATCTGAAGTACATACAGGTGAAGCTGTCCAAGAGGAAGTCATATACATGGGTCTGGAATTTAGCTTTACCTTTAGGTCAATGGATAGAAATTTGGGGCATTTTGCAATCCATAACTGGAATATGAGTTTGACCTTATTTATATTTTGTGTATAACCAGTGTAGTGCAGCTAAAGAGCCCGGGCATCAAAGCCAGAACACCTGGATCCTAAACCCAGCTTTAAGACTTACTAGCTGTGTGACCTGAGGGACATTTCTGATCCCTTTGTGACTCATTTTATCATCTCTCAAATGGGAAGGGTTACTATAATTACTGCCACACTGCATAGTTATGAGGAATAAGTAATTGAATACATATAAAACCCTTACTGCTAAATAAATATTAGCCATTAATAATGTTGGGTTGAACAAAATGAAATTGTCATTTTGAAAGTCAAAAAGTCAAATACTGAAATTTCATATGATTCAATTTCAGATCTGTTAGTGCATAAATCTTGTGGCATTTTCCTGTTTCCCAAATTCAGTCTCACCTGTAGTAACTCCATCTGCTCTACCTTGGATGATATAAACAGGTGCCACAAGTCATCTGAGAATATGGATTGACTTGAAGAGGTAATTCTTGAAATAAAATGTCAAACTTCTGTTTGACTTTCCTCTTAACCTCTGAAATCCTTTCAATTGCGGAAGCGGAATGACCTTGTTTTCATTGCAAAATGACAAAAATACTCTGGTAATTTTTCCTGAAATATGCGCTTTGTTTGAACAGAGTTGCATAGTGAAGATTATCATTAGTATCAACACCCTTGGAGAGGATTCATATATACTATCTCTGAGAGAAAAAAAAAAAAAAGCCTACTTTACCAACGAATCTCTGGGACTTAGTTAAATAATTATGGAACTAGAATTCAGGTCTTTATTCACTCACTTACCATCTGCTCCCTTTAGGTTATATTCTAAGTAGTTGAATCAACAGATGAGAAACATGAACATAATATAAAAGATCCAGCTGACTTGAAACCTTATGCATTCCAATATTACTATATTTAAGAGCAAAAATAAACTTGTATACTGGTAGTACTATTTCCATAAACATGAATATTTTGATGGGGTCAGTACTGCAAATCCTTTGTGTAATAAAACATTGTGGTTTGAGGTTCTATTCAGAACATAGATCATACAATTTTCAAAATCTAAATTGGGTAGCTAATCCAAATCTTGTCTGTGTCTGCAAACGAATGCAGCAGTTAGAGTTCTAGCACATATGGCCAACAACTTCAGACGTGTGTTTAAAATACTATAGAAAAGACCTGGGTGGGCAGGCGCTTTGTTGGATTTTAAGAGAAGGAGATTGTGAAGTATTTGCACATGCATTAAAAGTAAATGTTAGAGTATGTATATAACATTTAACAGGTATTCGGCTTCTGAAGAGAAATAAAAGATGGATGTTACTTTGCAGTGTCTATAACAAGCAAATATTTTGGAATGATCAGAATATTAATCTTTCCTATTGATCCATCTTTTGAAGTCTTGATATTGATCCTCCTTATTCTTTATTTCTTCTGAAAAGTCTTTAATCAATGCTTCTCTTTCTTTAAAATAAAGGCAGCACCTTCTTTATAGGTACCACGTGATTGGAAATTTATTTTATTATTTATTTGTGTTCATTTATCCAGCCTACTTTTTTAAAAGCCAAGTTCAGAAATCTATCCTTAAAAATTGAATACTGAACCAAAAAGAATCTTTTGTTCATAAGATAAAGTTTGTTTCTTCTGTCTGTAGTAATGCCAGGCAAACAAACAAACAAAGAAAAAGTCAATTGCAAAGCAATACTAGGAATTCTCTGACATGGGAATTTTAACTATGGCTATTTCACTAGTATGCTATATTATTTTGTTATAATCTTATTATAAGATTTATTTTGTTACATGTACATATGGATTATATTTGGATTATAAATGTCCCTGTTGTATAACATTAAAAATAAAGAGAAATATTTTAAAAGAGCAACAGCCTTTAAAAACTTGTATATGGTCAGATTTAATGTATGCAACTATCTACTAGTAGTTAATGGCTGCTTCTCTGATTTTAACTGGGATAAAGTATAATGATGACAGATAAGATGTACTTTTTATTTTCTTCTCCCTTAATAAAAAAAGATATCTACAAAAACTCTAATATCAAAAACTCAAATATCACACTTAATGAAGAAGATTTTGATTCATTTCTATTCTAGGTAAGAATAATAGAAGGAGTGCTGCAATGAACACTATTATTCAGTATTTTTCTGGAGGTCAAAGTCAACACAATAGCTCAAGGAAAACAGATAAGAGATACGAGAAATGGAAAGTGTGTCCATTAGTATTAGTTTCAGCTGTACATACAGAAAAATCTTAAATAATAATACCTTAAATAAGATAGAAGTTTCTCTCTCACGGAAGGAAGGAAGGAAGGAAGGAAGGAAGGAAGGAAGGAAGGAAGGAAGGAAGGAAGGA